CCTATGGGACATGAGAAAACCAGACATCGAAGCCTTCATTGAACAAGCAAGCTTACATCACCCAACTAATGAATTCACGGCCGAAATATTTGACACTGAGACTGCGTTTTTAGACACGGTTGTATACAAAGGCACAAGATTCAAGGAAAAATCTATCCTTGATGCAAAGACACATTTTAAACAAACGGAAAGCTTCTTGCACAAACATCTCACCTCGTGTCACGCTCCAAATGTTAAAAAAAGAATTTTCCAAAGGAGAAGCCTTAAGGATCCTACGAAAAAAAACTCCTCAGAAACAACCTTTGAGGAAAATAATTCAAATTTTAAAAAAAAATGCTTGATGGACGGAGGCTACCCACAATCTATCAGGGGCACCCAACGTCAATTTTCGGAAAATATCTGTTCGAAAGACGATTTGGGGTCTAGAATTTTCGGAACATTTGTTCTAAAGCTTCTTGTTTGTCTGCCCCTCCTAGGATTTTCGAACATCTAAAAAAACGGTATAATTGCCCATTTTTTGATCCCTATAATTTTCGTATCAATAGACTTCCAGCTAGGAGATCCGAACAGATGGAAAATTTTTAGGGGATAAAAATATGCCTATATCTACTATTTAAATTGGTTTTGAAGTATATTCTCGTTGGGTGCCCCCTATCTTTGATAGAAAACCTACTATCAGAAATAAAATTCACAAAAGGGAGTCTAAACTCCTAAAACAAAACAACAAGGAGGAAAAAGAAATATTGCCATTCGTGACACAGTACCAGCCCTCAGTGTCTACTATAAAGGAAGCTTGAATGAAAAAAATGGAATCTTATTCAAAACCAACTATAACTTCAATAAATTTTTAAAGAACCACCAATCATTTCCTTACAAAAAAGAAGAAAAACGGTTCACAGAGGGTTCCACGCCCGTATAGGTGTGCGGCCTGTCAACCTTTGTATTTTCTCGCACAACAGGTTTGTGAGTATTTTAGCAGTAATTCCAGTTGGCTGTGTTTTATATAACAAGTGTAGTCAACTGTCTCGTTAGTAGTTAGTAAAAAATAGGGTGACCCACCCCCTAAGGGTAGCTGAAAATTGCACGACCCACCCCTTGCACAAGGCTCAAAACCTCATGACCCACCCCCTCTCTGCTCCGGCCCACCCCC